ATTTCCCATTCTGGCTGGCTCTGACCCACAGTAATTAGCTGAGATAACTAATGATTACTTACTTATTCCTTGTAATTATCTGGATTTAATAATTCGCTGTGTAATTTATTAATTTGCTCATAATGGCCTTTCAGGACTGGGAATGACTCCTCTAAAGGGGTAGAGTAGGAAAAATTTAGTGATTTTTTTTCCCCTTATTGCCATAAATCTGTCTCCTGACAAATGTAGACTTCTGGAACATTTCTATCATCATAACTATCTGGGAACCTTTGTCTTCCTTTTTATCCTAACAGGATACCAATCAACTTCATTTTTCTGTTGTAACCGCTCCCTCCAAGGCCAACTAAAAAGTAAAATTCAGTTTTGAGTTTGAATGTAGATTATTACCCTAGAAATAGAAATTGTTGTCCTCGATTAACTAGATGATTTTCTAAACTAACTGACATGGTTTGCCTAGAGAAAAAATGAGTTTTGTTCTCGGAACGTCTTTTAAAATCAAGTGGATTTTTAATGTCTTTCCATCATGTCTTAAGAGTTTCCTCAATCCATAGATCAAAGCAAATGGATTTATTTAAAAGTGGAAAATGGAGCATTTTCACTGCTAAAATTCTGATTCTCTTGGCAAAATTCCAATTCTTTTAGTAAGGAGAGATTCTAGAATTTGTCTTTGATATAAAAAGTAAAAGTTATGCATTGTTATTTGTTTTTTATACATGATGTAAAATATTTGGGAGCATTCAGTTGCATATAAATCTTACTTTTTTTCATTTGCTTTTTCATATGTCCTTTAATTCCCCTGTGTTGTGTGTCAGTGAACCCTGATCTGATCAGAAACTCACCAAATAATTTGAATGCCACCTCTCCGTAGAAAACTGCTTTCTTTGGGGCAATATCCAGGTGGTTCAGAGAGAGCTTAGGTATCAACATGGCCTTGCATAATCTTTGCTCTTAGGCACTTATTCCATTCCATCTTAGATGTTGCTGATCACATTGTAAAGAAGACAAACTCATTTAGCTTTAGAAAACTTTTTTATACCTACATAATTCTGAAAAGTTATACTGAGGATGCCCAGGTATACTATTGCATCATTTAATAAATGGTCTCTTTCTGATGCAATAGTAATTGTGAGCCTAGGGCAGGGGTGGGGTGGGGGTGGGGGAAATGAGGACATTAGTCATGAATGCAAATGGCTTTGATTGATATGAAAAGGAATTTCACTCTTGTTTTACAATTTATCCATTTGACTCTTTTGAAATTCAATTCCAAATGGATATTTTCTCAACAATGTATTCTAGGTCTCTTCTTTTCTTACCTTTAATTTCTTCTTCAAGACCAATCCCCTTCTTTCCAAATCTCTTAGTTGTTATGAATGTCTCTGCAACTCTCATTAGTAGAGACATTCAGAACACACTTCATTTAAAACTCTGCTATTCCAATAAAACAAATGGTTAAGCAGACTTCAATAACTGACATCATATAAATAATGGACTAATATTCATGCTTGCAAGCTAGCATGTACTTCAAAACTTGTACTTTTATACACATAGAAAGAATGTTGATTTTATTTCCATTCAATATAATTCTCAATTTTACTACATTGACAGAATTTCTGTCTTCATTTTAAGCTGTCAAATTTCTATAGATAAAAAATACTAATCCACCTGTTTTTCTCCCATTTCCTCTTTCTCTTTAACGTACTTGTCCTAGCCGTGTAAGGGAAGAAGGAAAATTATTTACTGAAGACAAATGATCCTAGGCCATTAAAGGTAGTTTTCTATATATTTAATCCATTTATTTTCTCAGCATTGTTATTTTTTTTAAAGTCAGCAGCAGGAAGTTCTCTAGCAGACCTCTCAAACTTGCTCCAGAGTAGAAGCATCTGGAGAGTGAGTTACTGTCCGTGGTGCTGAAAACAGTGCCCAGTGTAGTGAAATTAGTAATATGAAGAAGGGATTTTTTAGCTTTTAAATCAGAGTGGTAAAAACAAGCCACCAATATCACTGATTCTGACTCATGACTTTGACTAAAACAATTCTGATAGTCCCTAGAAACTGTGAGAGTATTAGTAAATGAACACGTGGGTTTTACTTCTTCAAGTGTATTATTTCAGTGATAAAAACTGAAGTCTTCCCAACCACTACCATGCCAACTTTCACAGCTGTTTTGGTTACATGTGGAAAATATAATCTTTAAAAAATTTCAGCATGAGTATGGAAATTTCCTTTAAAACATTTCATTGAATTGTGGGGTATTTCCTAACCCCATACCCAAAATAAGAAACATCCCAAGAATGTTTCATATCAGTGGAGTCACAATTCATATTAGCAGAATTACCTTTAAAAGCTAACCTTGTTCCTTCCTTTTATTTGATCTATGAATCTCCTGGGTGGGAGTGGGGGTTAGGGGTGGTTCTGGGTTGTATCTTTGCTGTTGATATATTGCTCAATTGCTATAGGGGAGATTAAAATGATTTTAAATGGGTAAAGAGGTGCATTTAAACCATCACCAACAAAAGAAATATCTCTGCACCAAGGAGTAGAATTTCTTTGTGTCAGACCATCACTGGACAGACTTCCACTAACTCTGGTACCTGGGTAAGTCACAAGAGGTGGCAAAAATTTGTACCTTCTAATCATCCAACACTTCTTCCTCAGCTCCATTCTGCCTATATCAGAGTATGATTTTCTTCAAAAGTTATGAGGAGACTAAACGGAGCAAGAGAGAGAAAAAATAAGGTGGAGAACAGGTACTTACTTCAAATCCCAGTGACCTGGGAGTTTTCTTTTTGGTTCTAGTTAGAAGGTGTTTCTCTCCAAAAGTAGATATTGAACTAAGAACCATGGTGGGCCAGGTCTAGGCCTCAGTCAAAGTGAATTCACCTTCTACCCTGCCTCTCTCCATACCCACACTCCCAAGGTTGCTGAAAATTGAGCTGCATTCCTTTCTTCCCATTGCCATGCAATGCCTCTGCTCCCAAAGATTTTCTTTTTTTGCAGAATTATTGCAGATCTGAAGAACTCCAAAGGAAATATTTGAAACTAAAACCATCACCTTGTTGGGGTCAATAAGCAAACCATCCTATGAGATAAATGCTGGCTATTATAAACTCTGTTTTTGATACTTTCTTAGAAAAACACCCCCTCCAAAGTCCAAGCCAGAGTTTGATAACAACCCTTCCCTAATGCTTAAAAATACATTTCTATCCCCCTCAAAATAATTCCCAAATAAATAATTTAAAACAACATCACATTTTCAAAGCCATTTAATTTCAATAGCATATTTTAATGAAAAAAGCATCATACTTCATCGATAAAACATTAAAATCATCTCTTCAATGAAAGACAATCAAACAACACCAAAATTAACTTAATACGTTACCATAGTAAATCAACCAACTATTAACAAAAAAACAAAAACCAGGTCATATACAGAACTCAAGACTTCGGAGAGCCTTAATTGGAACAAGAATACAGCAAAATTTGTAAGAATATATCTATATGTGCATCATTTAGAATGAAATATTTACAACTGATAGGATTTCAGTCATCATGTGCCCAATTTGCTGTTCCAAAAGAATTCTACCAAACAATGTGAATGTGCAAGCAGTGCACGGTCTTTCTTATCATTCAAATTAGGTTTTCTACAAACAAACCTCCAAAGGGAAAAAACTGAAGGATTCCTGAAACCGTTAAAATGTTGTCAACAGAGCAATTGAAAATGAGAAGACTGAATTACCTTGGTTAAACCTTAGAATCTGGAAGGGCAAACACCAAGGGACAAAGCACCCAATGCTGGAAAACAGATGCATAGGTCACCAGGCTATCAATTGCTTCATATCTTTTCCTCCATTGGAGGTGTGTGTGTGTGTGTGTGTGTGTGTGTGTGTGTGTGTGTGTGTGTAAGCCAGAGCACGTGTGTAGTAGGAACAATGTGGGAATCCCCATTAAATATGTAACGAAGTAAACAATACTTTGGACAGTGAATCAGATCTACACGATTAAGACATCAATTACCGAGTGTCAACTCACAAATCAGAACACTACCAGCAAAAAAACAAAGAAAAACGTTCTTCATTTAAAGTGAGACTATACAAACGGCCCAAAAGAAACATATTACAGGAGGAAAGCCGTAAAAATTCAGTAAACTCATCAAACAGAAAAATTGTACCGCCACTAAACCATACATTTCCCCCCCTCTGGTTTTTTTTTAATACTAAAGAAGTTAATTAATTAGAATGTGCACAAAATTAAACTGCTAGAGAGACAAATTAATAATTTACAGAGGGTTGTTGGGTGATAATCTAATAATAGCTTTCAAGATCAGTGAACACAGCAGGCGTACCTCCTTTCTTAAACATTAACACTTGAGAGGGGAGAGAAGGGGGGGTAAGAACCACGATAAAAATATATATGTATATAATATACAGTGTAAATGCAGAAAATCTGCCATCTTCTTTTTAAAATTCAAAATACTTTAGAGATGTCTCTATCACATCAAGCATGAACTCTAGTTTAAAGTTTCAGTTCTGAATCAATTTCTATTTCTGAAAAATAGCTGCAAAGTGTACTTTTTCCATTTGAACAGGGAGTGCTGTCTTTAAGAATAAAAACAAATCTTACTTGCTCGTTCTTGAGGCCTGTGTAAAGGCTGTCTCGGCTGCCTCCTGCAAACAGCCGAGCTCCAGAGTGTCTCTGAAGGTGCCCGAGTGCCTCTTCCGGGTAGAGTCGGGGGTGAAAGGGGGCGACTTTGCTACAACTTCACGAATCCCTGCGGCAGCTTCTCTGTGCTTGGAGAACTCGTTGCACTTTTTCTCGCCGGGCCTGGGACTCAGTGGCTCACTTGGGAGGGGTGGGGTGGCGGGGTGGGGTTGCCAGTCCCGTCTCCAACCCCGGCGGCGGCTGTCACCCGATTCACATTTTCTGGAATTGATTTCTGGGCGCCCCAGAACGGGAAGGGAATAGGCAGGTGAGAAGGGAGCGGGGGACAGACGGGGCGGGGAGGGATGCGGGTGGCGGTGCTGTCCGGGGCGAGGCCAGCCAGGGGTCTCCTAAATGCCCGCGGAATATTTCATTCTTTTCTGTTTCTGCCGCTGGTTGCAGAACCAGACGCGCACCACGTTTTTCTTAAGGTCCAGCTTCTCGGCGATCGCGGCGATCTTCTCGGACGACGGCCGCGGCTGGATGGCGAAGTAGGCTTCGAGCGAGCGCTTCTCGGGCGCCGCGATGGACGTGCGCTTGCGCTTCTTCTCGGCGCCGTTGAAGAGCTCGGGCTTGGTGAGCTTCTCGCGGTGGGACTTCTCGGCCTCCTCCAGCCACGCCTGCAGGATGGGCTTCAGCGCGATCATGTTGTTGTGCGACAGGGTGAGGGACTCGAACCTGCAGATGGTGCTCTGGCTGAGCGAGCCCACGCCGGGGATCTTGAGGTTGGCGAGCGCCGAGCCCACGTCGGCCTGCGTCACCCCCAGCTTGATGCGCCGCTGCTTGAAGCGCTCGGCGAACGCCTCCAGGTCCCGGGGGTCGGCGTCCACGTCGCTCATGCAGCCCATGTGCGAGGGCAGCCCGTGCGCGTGGGCCATGCTGAGCGCGGCTTGGTGCATGGGGTTCATGGTGGCCATGTGCGGCGCGTGCGCCGGCGTGGACACCACCGCGCCGTCGGGGCCCGCCATCGCGCCCAGGGCCAGCCCGGGACTCAGGTGCTCCAGCAGCTCTCCCTCCAGCGCCTGGTGCGGCTGGTGGTGATGGTGATGGTGGTGGTGGTGGTGGTGGTGCGTGCCGGCCAACGCGGACGGGTGCGAGATGGGCACGGACGACGACGAGGCGGCCGACGTGCACGGGATGGTGTTCATGGTGTGGTAGGTGGCGTCCGGCTTGAAGGGGCTGTGGTGAGGCGGGTGGTGGTGGTGGCTCTTGCTCTGGGAGACGATGTCCACCGCCGCCAGAGCCTCGGCGCGGGCCAGCAGACTCTCATCCAGCCCGCCGAATATATTGCTCTGCAATTGCAAGTAAAAGGCACACATTACGCTCAGCAGGGAATTGCGCGCTCTCAGCTCTCCAAAAAGCCCCGGCGCCCGCCGCGCTCCGCACCGCCGCCGCCGCGCCTACAACATTCCCAGAAGGTTGAAAGGAAAACAGGAGCCGTGGCAAGTGAGCGCGGTAAGGATCAACGGTTAACAATAACAATCCCGGGCAGCAGGAGAGGAGGCAAGGCCGCCGAGAGAGAAGTCGAGAGTGCGCCAGGAGGCGCGGGAAAGTGAACCTGCAAAACCACAACACAACACGCGCGCGAAGGCAGCGTCCCAGGTCATAAAAATTAATACGGAAGGAAAGACCTGCTGCATACATAAGAGAGCAAGAGAGAGAGAGGCAGGAAAATTGGTTGGAGGTGCGGGGTGATTTGCTGTGCAGACATGAAAAAAACATCAAGCAGATAAAGGGGGCTGTCAAAATGTGCCTTTAAGCGGTGATTATGCAGAAATACGCACCGGTGGGGTGGGAAGACACGCTGCTCTCCGCAACGCCTCGGAGCCGCCGCCGCCGCCGCCGCTGCCGCTGCCGCTGCTGCTCGCGCTGCTGCTCCGGCCGCCGCCGCCCCCGCCGCCGCCGCCGCCGCCGCCGCCCGCCGCGTTGCTGGAGCTGCCCGGGGAGTTGGCGGCGGGCGCGGCGGGCGCGGCCGAGCCGGGCGAGGCGCTGTGCAGGGCCGAGTACTTGGGCTCCACGTGCAGGCTGCCGCCGTGCGGCATGCCGAACGCCTGCTTGCTGTTCAACGACATCATCATCATCTTCCCGGCCGCCCGGGCGCAGGTCCGGGGAGCACGCGCGGGGGAGGGGTCCGGCCGCCCGGCGGGTGCAGAGACGCGCGGGGCGAGAGCGCGACCCGGGACGGGCGAGGCCAAGTGGCGCTCAGCCGCCGCCGCCGCCGCCGCCGCCGCCCGGCTCGGCGCGCCCGGCCCGGGCGACGCGCTCCTGCCTGGGCGAAGCGGTCAGTGGCGCGCGCGATCGCGGGGCTCCTCGTGGTGCTGGCGGCAGACCCGGGCAAGTGCCCCGGCGCCGCGTGGCCGCCGAGTTATACTCGCCGCTCCCCGCGCCTGCCCCCCGCGCCCCCCGCCTCTCGCCCGCACGCCTCCGCCCGCCCACCCCTGCCAGCCCGCGGCGGCTCCTGCTTGGATGTCTCGTCGCCGCGCCTCTCTCTCTCTCTCTCTCTCTCTCTCTCTCTCTCTCTCTCTCTGCGCTCCAGGCTGGGCTCCTGCTCCCAGCCCTCCTGGCACCCGCCTCCTTCCACCCTCCCCCCCCCTCCCCCCCGCCGCGCCCTCCCTTGGCAGCGCCCGCCCGCGCCCCCGCAAGCTCTCGCTGGAACAGCACCCCTGCTGCACCCCACGGGCCGGGCCCTGCGCCCCACGCCGGGTCACTCGCTCAAGAGCCCGGCTCCCGCTTTTCCCGCTCCTGTCGCCCAATCTCGGCCTGCGCTGTGCGGGAGCAGAGAAACTCCGAAATAAAGTTGCGGGGCAACTTGCGTGCGTGGTTCCCTAGACGCCCAGGTAAAGCCTCTTACCTGGCTGTCTGCCCCCGCCTCCTTCTTTACCGCTAAGTTCCAGGCCTCCGCCCCTCCTCGGTCCGCCCCTCCCAGCCGCTCGGGGGGGTACCCCCCACCCCCGGTTCCCCAGCTCCCGGCCCCCCGCGGAGCCGCCGATCGGGCCCCCGCGCGCCGCTCCGCGCGTCCGTCCGGCGAGCGCAGCCCTGGGCGCTCCGCTGCGCGCCCCCTCGGCCCGGCCGGCGCCTGCCGTAGAGACATGGGGTCGGCGGGCTGCGGGCCTTTCTCTCGCTCGCTTCCTCGCAGCTCTCAGCGGATTGGATGGCCGCGGCGCCGGCCGGGGTCGCCTGTGCGCATGCGACTCCCCCCTCCCCCGCCACCCCCGTGGTCTCTCGCCCACCCCGCCGCCACCCGCACGCGCTCCTCTCCACCCTCTTTTCTTTTCCCTGGGATCCTCCTCCACCTCCTCCTCCTCCTCTTCCTCCTCCTCCACCACCTCCTCCTCTTCCACCTCTTCTCCTCCTCCCCGCCCCCGCAAGAGTCGGGTGAGTGGAGAGTGGGCCGAACGGAGCAGCCCACACTGCCGCTGCATTTATTATTCTTCATTAGCCACAATCAAAGGAGGACGGGGCAACTGACTGAGGGAGGGAGAGGACCAGGGATCACAGAGCGCATGTGCTGGTGGACAACATCCCCCCCCACCTCCCGCGCGCTCACACACACGCACACACACACACACACACACACACACACACACACACACGCCCTCGGGGGACTGGCACAAGCCCCACTAATCTTCATTTCCACAGCCCCTTCGCCTATTTTCAGCCCACACTTTGCTCGCACTTGTGTCCCAGGGAGCATCACTTTCTTGGAAGTGGACACACTCTCTCAGTGCCAACGGCAGCGACCTCCCCTCCACCCCGCACGCGCGCGCGCGCTCCCCTCCACACCCCAGTGTCTCCTCTCCCCGTTCCCTCGAGGTTTGGAACCGCTGTCACGTCCCCCGCCTCCCCCCGCGTCCCCCTCTCCCCACCCCAGAGCGGGGCGAGGGCGAGGAGGGCCCGCATGACTCTGGAGCCTGCGGGTGGCCCGAACCGGACGGGGTGGCTGGGAGCAGGTGCAGAGCTCGGGCGCCTGGGGATGGCGAGCAGGTGCGGGAGCAGGCGGCAGGCCTGCGAGGCTCTGGCGCGCGCTGGGACCAAACAGAGCAGGAAGGAGCGAGGCGAAGGGGAGCCGTGGAGTGGTCAGCGCCCCCGAAGTCCCGCGACGCCGGGAGTAAGGGCTCCGGGGCGCGCGGGAACCTCGGCAGGGCGGGCGGGACGGCAGGTTCAAGTTGGGAACGGTCCTCGGAGCCGGCTGGGTGCAGAGCCAGCGACAGCATCGGCGCGGCGGTCTCTATCCATGGTCCTGAACCCCTGATGCTTTTCAGCGCGGTGCCTGGGCTGGACCAGTGCCGAGGAAAATAATCAAGAGTAGCCGCCGAAGGGAATTGCGGCCAGCAGTGCTCTCCAGAAGGAACAAGGAGCTAGAAAGGGGCTTGTTGATATGAATGAATATGGATGGCGCCTGGACGGTTCATGTAAACGCTTAGGTGTTTAATTTCTGTTTTCGACAACAGCTAGGGTAATTTTCAAGGAAATAAAGGAATGACATTGTACCGCTCTCACTGTCTCGAGCTTAGAGAAATGAAATAAATCAAAGTTAAAAGCTTGAGTATCATTTAATTATAGTGTGAATAGCGCTTTGAAAGAAGTAGAACAACATCTCTAAACAAATTATGACTGGGCCAGGAAGGAATTATTAGATTGAAATTTCATTTAGGCTCCGGAGATTCCGCGCTTCACTGTGTAATCTGCTATGCCTCATCTGATTTGTATGCTTAATTCAGCTTGACGAATTTATTAGTTTTCATAATAGTGAAAAAATTGAGCAGCGCTATGGCCTAATGCATTGTGTGTGCTATAAATTGTATGTCATCATGGCAAGGCTGAAGTCTATAGAAATCTTTTATTAATGTCGGCAAAGGAGGGAGGCTTTTCGTGCCAGCCTTGAAAGGTCGTTCACACCAAACTCCGTTGCTGTGTCTCCCTGGTCCATTAACATAGCGTCATACTAATTAGACTACTTCATCAGTGATATAATTTCAAACTTCAAATTATGTTCTAATTAACAAGGGTTGTCCAATTTGCTTAATCTTCAAAAGACTTTAGCGGGTCTAATTAGTAGAAACTGTTGAGCATCTCTAAAAGCCTAATAAAAATCCATTAAAATATTTTGGGTGTCTTTTCTGTAAGTACCGTTTAAGGGCCAAGGGCCAAAGTGAGAGCAGAACAAGAATGCAAGTGGAAGACAGATGTCCTCATCCACCTAGTTCCCCCAGATTATAATATTCGGGGAAGCCCAGGTGAAACTGCAGGCTATATTGCACCCCCTAAGCGTGTGCTGATGTGTTTAAATAAAGGCATAAGAATATCAAGGAGCAGAACCACATGGGGAAATAATTCTTCTCTTTCATTAGGTGCCTAATTAGATGTAAAGTGAATAGCAACCCTGAGGAGTTTCCCGGGCATTATCATGGCAACAGTCTGCTGAACTTGGATTGCAAAATCAAATATTTGGGGGTGTTCTGAACCTTCCCCTGTCCCCTCCCCCTTCACTGAGCTTAATTACTTGCAATAGTTGTTTTAATGTATGTTGTCACCTGGGAGTATTGAGAAATGCATATCGTTAATAATAATTAATCTTGATTTTAATAGCAACTGACAACTGATCTCTAAAATGCTAAACACTTGTCACCACTTCGTATGGTAAATAAGGAGTATAATACATTCATGAAATAAAGAGGCTACAGTTGAAGTGACTGGACAAACTTTGTTTAATATGGAATTTATTGATTCAAACCATTTTAAGCATGACAACTCCCAAGAGACTATTTACCTAATGGCTAAAATTTACCTATCATTAAATCAATCTCAATTTACCTTTTTCAAAAAAATCTCTCAGATGTGTCTCAGTGATATCTTCCAGGCTGGGGAGAGAGGTGCCCTATTCTAATTATCAAGATGATATAAATTGATATGTAATTGTGCCGTGATTAATAGTTGTTTACTTGTATTTCTGTCCCCCTAAAAGGCACATGCATTTTTTTAAAGGCATAAGCTAAGATTTCCCCTTTCCCCACTCAAAGTGAAAAATGAACAGCGGTGATTGTGTTGCATTAGAGGGAAAATGCAATTCTTCCTTCCTCACCACGACTTGCAATCTTACAATCTCTCCTTCCAGAAGTGCACAGAATACCAACGCCTTTGCAGTGATATCAATAAAACCCATTTCAGTTTTGCCCACAGGCATGGCTGCAAAGTGCTCCTGTGAGCACGGAAGCTGCTCTCTGAGGAAGGTCGGTCTCCACACCCCTGGGTAGCCAAAGCCCATCTACACGCTGGAAAGTTGGGCCTAAGTGTACTGGGTGGAGACAAATAACCCAAGATCCAGGAACCTGCCCCTTCTGACCTCAACACACACATTTATGGCCACACACCTTATTATAACTAGTACCTCTGCACACCTGCAGATCCACCTCATAACCGTCAGAGGAAATGATTGCTTTCTTAAGCACAGAAATGGAGAATGGATGGACACCCACTCCTCACCCCTCAACAAGAATCACCTTTTCTCTCACCAGCCCTCTTTGGCAAATCGCCTCTCCTCTTCTGTTTGCTGCCAGATGCAGACTGACGAGACAAGCTTCTCTCCCCAAGAGAAGTCACTGGAACGCCCTCAAGCTTCCCACAACAACAAAAAAAACCCTGAAATAGCTAGCGGTCTCCCAACCCCCAAATCTGCATACAGCCTTCCCGAGGAGAAGGGACAGAGAGACATACTATGCCCTCGCTGGTCTTTGATCCTAATCTATTATTAAAGTTTTAAACTGGTACATTCATATTTTACTGGACCTAATGTGTTTTTTATTAAATTTTAATCTATTAAGGGTGCGTGACTTCTTTGTATTTAAGAATGTATTGAGTTGGACTTCGAGGAAGATGTCTTAAAGGACAGAGCAGGCCTGACTTTTCCTCCATTGTCCTCTTGGTAAACAGAGGACTTGGTGGGGAAAAGAGGGAAAGGATGGATTTCTGGTGAATTTCTCCATCCCATCGTGTGGGGTGTGTGTGTGTGTTGGGGGGAGGGGTGGCTAGTCTGCTCCAGGTTCTGGGGAGAAAACAGCCTCAGCTCTCTCTGGATGTGGTGTCTTGGGGGTGGCCTGGGTATTTCAGGGAGAAGGAAGAAGGGAATTATTCCATAAACTTAACTGTAGGGGAGTGCTCAGAGATCAGGCCACAGAGC